AAATAATGTTATCGACTTCAAACAAACAAACAAAACAAAGTCTTGATCCCCAGGTTAAAAACCTCTGCTGTATAGAATCCTCAATAATTTATCTGATGAGTCGTCATCTGCCCTTAGCCTTGAACACCTTGAAAGAAACAGGATTCACCACCTCCCAAGGCTTCTCATTCCACTTATGGATGGCTCTAATTGTTAGGGAGTTGTTTTTTGTTGCTGCTGCTGTTGTTGTTTTCCTGAAATCAAACCTAAATTTGTTTCTTTATACTTTCAACCCACTGCTCCAAATTCTGCTCTCCTAACGCCAAAAAGGACAGCTCCTAAACCCAAAAAGAATACCAGGGCGGTGGTGCAGTGAACAAAGCAGGACTCAGGAGCAGGAAGGCCTGACACTGAATCCTGCCTCAGACACTTACTAACTGTGTGACTCTGGACAAGCAACTTAATCTCTCTCAGTTTTACTTTCCACATCTGTAAAATGGGTGTGATAATAGCGCCTACCTCCTGGGGTTGTTGTATGGATCACATTACTTAACAAATGTAAAGTACTTGGCAAACCTTAAAACACTTTATAAATGTTATATATTATTATCACTCTTCAACATGATAGCCCTTCAAACACTTAATTAGCTATTCTCTCCCTCCCCCCTTCCAAATCTTCTCCTGCCCTAAACTCCTGACTGACATTTTTCAGCTACTTCTTGTCCTATGTCTAGTTTCTCAAACTCAATTATTAAAGCCCAGAGGCCTGGGTTCAAATCTTCCTTCTTCCCCATACTGTCTTTGTGACCTTAGTCCAGTCACCATTCTCAGCTTCCGTTTACCCATCTATGAAATAAGGACATTGGACTACATATCTAACGTCCCTTGCAGCTATGAATTTCCAATGCTTTTATTCTTCATTCTGCTGCAAAGTAGTCATGTTCCTCAAGGGTCCAAAAATTTGACTTCCCTATCATACCCTTTCTTTCAGTAACTGTCTATTATTGCATAGGGTGGGGAAAAAGCCATATCAAAGAAAACAATTGATAACAATATCAAAAAAAAGGTTAATAAAAGTCTTCCCTTGGTAAACAATCTAGCGTGGCAGACCGGACACCCTGACTATCACAATTGCATCAGACCCTTATCTCTTTTATTTGCCCCATTGTTCAGGTTCCGGAACTCAAATGACATTCCCTTCTAACTACCCAGCTTTCATGTGCTTTTTCAAGCATACAGTCAATTACCAGAAGTACAAGTAATAAAATTGGAGGCAGATGAGGCAGTCTGGCTCCTGGACTTCTTAGCTGGGCACTTTCAGGATTTATTTCTTCACCCAGGCTTATTCCCTTTCCTCTGCTGTCAACCTCCCCGAGACACTTCCAGAGGAATCTGTATAATCACAGGAACACAGATAGAGAGCTGAAAGGGACCTAAGAGGTCATCTTTTCCAGCCCCTTTATTTCACAGAGAAGAGAACCTGGAGCATTTAGGATTTGCTCAAGATCACACTGGTAATAAGTCTCAGAACTAGGATTTGAGCTCAAGTCCTTTGATTCCAACTCCAGGGTTCTTGCCACTGTACCTCGACTATTTCTAATAGTGTAAGTTGTTTGGGGTGAGGAGGCGGGAAGGTCTGGCAGGGGTGGGGAACCTGCAGCCACATGCAGCCTCAAAGCCACAGTCCCGGGAGAGACATAAGACCCAGCTCTGAAACTTCATATTATCATAGATTTAGAATTGGAAGGGACCTTAAGGCCATCAGGTCCAATAACCTCATTTTACAGATGATCTGAGGTCAAAAGAAGGTATGAGTCTCGTCCAGTGTCCTGCAGCTAGTATGGGAGCAGCTGAAGTGGGATTTGAATCCAGGTTTTCCTTATTCCAAGTCCAGCATCCTTTCTGCCATGCCTTGAAAAAGTCTCTTTCCCCCTCTGAACCGCAGTTTCCTCTTCTATTAAATGAGAAAGGTAGACTAGATGTTATCTAAGGCACCTTCCAGATCAAGCATCCTCTCATCAATGTAATTCTTTTTATGGTCATTTCATCTTCCTGAAGTTGGTACTTTGGTACATTGGAAGTTCCATGATTTCCTTGGTATGGGCACTTCCTCCAACAAGGTTGATCACTATCCCCTTTCCACCTTCGCTGATGGTTTCTTGAGGTACTCTGGCTAAACAAAGTCAAGACATGGCAGCCAACTCTCTGAGGATGAGTGTCTCTAAACTTTATTAGATTAGGCCCCAGAGAACAGTATGCCATAGGGCCTGTACTCACAGTTTTTCTAGCTTTGTAGGACCTGCCAGAACTTATATTCCTATAGTATGGCCTTTCAGAACCTAGGGGCTCCTCCCAGACATAAAAGTGAAGGGCAAACAATGCACTCCGTGGAATTTCACTCCTTGGGAATTTTACAAAGTACTGAATAAATTAGATGTGGCTTTAAATTAGATGTGAACTCCTTGAGGGCAGGAACTGTTTTTGTCTTTCTTGTATACATATCATTTAGCACAGTGCCTGGCACCTAGAGGGTGTTTAATAAATGCCTGTTGGCTTGACATACATTTATACTTACAGAATTTTTCATTATTCTAGCTCCTGACCCAAAAGCCTTAGGAGAAGTGGACATATCTTAATTTGACAAAATATAAATCAGTGGAAAAAATAGAATTGACATCCAAAGTTTTGTGCTAGCAATATCTTTTAGGCAATGTGTCTGTTCTCTCTGTTGGGGGATGCCTGCATTTCAATGCAAGATCATTAGATTTACAGCCAGAAGGAACCTTAAGGATTAACATACCCAACCCTTCCATAATATCATTAAGTTAGAGTTGAATGGGACCTGGAAAGGCATCAAGTCCAACCCCCTCATTTTATAGAAGAGGAAACTGAGGCACAGAGTGGTTGTAAGTTGCCTAGTATCACCCAGCTAGCAAATGTCTGAAGCAGGATTCAAACTCAGGTTTTCCTGATTCCAAGACCAGTGTCCTACCCACTACACCATGATGGTTTGATTTTAACTGCCACAGCTGCCGTGATTCAGTCCCCAGAGGCTTGCTCCTGGTTCTCTGAGGCCTGGTCTTTGCCTGCGCACCCATGCTGAACTGCGTTTCTCTCCCAGCCCGGTGCCCTAGACCTTTCTGATCAACCATCCAGGTTGTCTTGGGCTGGAAATTTGTTTCACTCTGTCTTTTTGTGGTTCTGCTGCACTAGAATTCATTTAGAGCCATTTTTTACAGGTATTTGAAGGGATTTGGGGGAGAACTCAAGCAAGTCACTGCTTTTACTCCACCGTCTTGGCTCTGCCCCAATGGTTTGATTTTAAAGATGAGAGACTGAAGGTCAGAAAGTTGAAGTGATTTGCCCAAAGTCATACAGATACCAAATAACTGAGCTTGGATTTTGACCCTGTTCTTCTGACCTCACTTCCAGTGCTCTTTTGACACGGTCAGATCCCATCCAAATATATGACCCTTCAGAGTGACCCAGAGTTCTGCATTGTGCACAGCCAGACTTGGGTAATTTACACTGGGTATTCCAATTTGTCCCCTGCCTCAGCCCTTTTTTTTTCCTCTGTCTTCCTGCCCAGTACACTTTTCTTTAGCCTCATCATCAAAGGATAAACAGGGGAACAAAATTAAGAAGCTCAAACAAATCAGTTTTGCTCCTTCATAAAAGGTTTGGTGATAGGAGTTGAAGTTTGGATCTATGAGAGGTAGACAAACTACTGCATGAGAACCCAGTCCTGGCCTCTGCCTGCTTTTATACGGTCTGTGATCTAAGAATGGTTTTTAGGTTTTTCAATATGATCTTTATTTTAAAATGTAAAAACCATTCTTAGCTCCTAGGCTGTACAGGTGGGACCTAGTTTGCCAACCCTTGAATAAGATATTCAATACATTATTTAGATTTTATCTATTGTTTTTAGCTCTTCATGTCCACCCCAACCACACATGAGTATGATGTGACTTTTATGTATGCTCTTCATATAACAGAATTCAAACATACATCTTTTAGAGCAAATCTTTCAACTATATTAAATAATTTCCCAACTCAAGATACTACCCAAGTTGATACCACAACTGAGTTGCTCAAAAAGATGTTTCAGATGAAATGCTTCTCCAGCTTCTCCATCAGGTAATTATAATAAATAAATAAAAGTAGGTCTCAATCAATATTCATTATTTCACTATAGAATAAATGTTATTTCATTACAAAATAAATTTTGTTTTATTATTAAATAAATATGTATTATTTGTTTTCTGTAAAAATTATAAAATGATATTAATTTATAATGAAAGTAAAATTTTTGTATTTTTTTTTAAACAGAGAGAGGCAGTATGGGGTGGAGAACCTGAGGCCTGGAGGCCACATGTGGCCTAGGTCCTTGCATGTGGCCTTTTGACTGAACCCAGGTTTTACAGAACAAAGCCTTTTATTAAGTGGATTTGTTCTGTGAAACTTGGATTCAAAGGGCCACACTATCTCTTATTTTAAAAAAAAGGCATGCAGCCTACAGACCATTCATTCACAGGTTTATCTAGTTCATTAGGCTAGAAGTGGCATTAACTTTTTCTGTAAGATTTTGATGGCTAATTGCCCCTAGTTGTAGGATAGGGTAGGGTAAAATAGAATAATCTTGGAAATTGTGATTGTTTGTAAATTCCTGCCCTCCATTCATAGAGGTCTGAGAGAATGTCAAAAAGAAATGCAACAGGACATAAGGGGAAAAGAGCTTTTATTTGGGGCCAGAAGACCTGGATTCAAACCCAAGCTTGGTCACTGTGTGCTCCTTAGAGAAATCACTTAACCTCTGTGGACCTTAGTGAGTTAATCTGTAAAATAAGAGAGTTGGATAAGATGTCCTCCTAGGTGCCTTGCAGCTCTAAATCTATGATCCTGTTGTTTTTATGGACCCTTTTGAATGATTCTATCCATCTGTCTTGGTCTTCAATTTGTGAGTCAAGTGCCAAGGAGGTCTGAACAATGTTGTGTACAACTTTATTTTCTCTCCCCTTTAGGAATTATAGTGGGAGTCCTAGTCCGAGAATACGGCAATCTATCCAACCTGGACAAGTTCTACTTTGCCTTTCCTGGAGAGATTTTAATGCGAATGCTGAAGCTCATCATCTTGCCCCTAATTACATCCAGCATGATTACAGGTACTCTCAGAAAAACTGGGGTCTGTTAGTTCTTTGCTGGGTTTCACCAGTTAGATATGTGTTCTGCCGTACCAGGAGCTTTTGCATTTGAAGAATGGTCTTGTCCTTTGAAGGAAGTGTCCATGACAGACTTACAAATGAACTTAAAGGGGATGGTGCTGTAGTACTGGTCATTGCCTATATAGTGCTGTCATCTCTCATCTCTCACCTCTCTCTCTCTCTCTTCCTCTCTCTTAGATCTTCATTGGTCAAGTCAGATGATAGGTCTTCTGAAGAAGATGCTATTATTCAGAGTTGCTATAAATAAATTCACATGCAGTGACACGAGGCAAGAGAAAGAACATTTGGTTATCTAAGCATCAATCAGTGTCCTCTGGCATAACGAGGATGTCAGTTTTAATAGCATTTCATTTAATAGCATTTCAGATTACTCCCCTTCTAGGCTTTTGTAGCATGAAGAGTATACACAAAAAGAGATTTCACAGGTATAGATAGGATCTATATCTATTTAACTAAAGATAGGATCACAGACCTAGGACCCAAAGGGATCTCAAGGCCATCTAGCCCAACCCTCATTTTATTAGATGAGGAAACTGGGATGTATCCAAGATCACCACAATCATACAGGTAGCAAGCATCAGAGGAGCAATGTGCATTCTGCTGTATCACATGTTGTCCTTCCTGTATAGCATAGCAGGAAGAACATTAGACTAGGGATCACTGATACAGAATTAGAGTTAGGGTTAGAGGCAGGAGCTGAAAGAAACCTAAGAGGGCATCAAGTCCAAATACTTCATTTTGCAAATGAGAAAGTTGAGACCTCGTGAGAGAAACCATCGTTTCTCTCTCATGTCAATAATCAATTATTAATTAGGACCAGGATTTTCTGCAGAAGTCTGAAGGGCATTGTTGATGCACGAGATTATGAAATCTCCAAGGTACATGCCTTTTGATCCTGGGTGGGACACCCCACCCAACTAGAGAACCTTATCAAGAATTTAATCTAAGGTGAATTACAGCCTATTGTGTTCCACTAGCAGGTTTGGGGAGGAATGGTATAGCTTTTGTTTAGATTACCCAAGACAGGGTGATATAGGTATAGATAAGTCTCTTTGACCAAGACCCAGTGATCAGAGTCAAGTCCCCCAGCCCCTCATTAGAACTTGTCCACCTCTCATTATAATATTCATTCTTCTCATTAGTTGGTAGCCAATCAGAATCGATTGCCACCCACAAGAATACTCCCTCTTCCAAGGGCATATAAGCAATGAATGGGTTCCATGAGGGATCTTTGGCATTCGAGAGTGTCATTGACCCTTTAATTAATTATTACTAGCATAGTTAATAAAATGATTAATTTCCCAGAAATAATGTCTCTCAAAATTTTTATACATCACAGTAGAAAGGTTAAGGGATTTGCCTAAGGCCAGGCAGTTAAGTGGCAGAACTGAGACTGAAGCCTAGGACCAATGACTACAAGGGCTGCATTCTCTCTACTGTAACATGCCATACTGATCACAGCAAAGATACAAAGACCTTCCTAATGCCATCACAGTAGAGCAACTGCTGAATAGCCAAGAGAGCTGGTTTATAGCCTACCTCTAGCAAATTATTAGCTGTATAACCCTGAGCAAGTCACTCAGGGTCCGAGTTTGGTACTTCATCTGTAAAAATTGAAATAATAATACTTTTCCCACCCTACAGATTTATTGTGAGGAAAATGCTTCATACAACTGAAATAACTATAGAAATATCAGCTTCTTGTCTCCTAATCCAAGGCTATCCCCACTAAATTGCACCATCTTTCTCTTTTTTAATGATGTCTTTTGTTTTTAAATCAAATTCACTTCTGAATATATCCCTCCTTCCCAGTGATCTCCCAATAATAGGCTCCTACCTCTCCAACGAAGGGAGGGAGATGAACTTTCTTAACTCTTCTGGTACAAGTTGAGGGGCAAGATGGGTGGCACAGTGGATGGAACGCCAGGCCTGGAGTCAGGAAGACTCATCTTCCTGAATTCAAATCTGGCCTCAGACACTTACTATCTATGTGACTCTAGACAAGTCACTTAACCCTGTTTGATTCAGTTTCCTCATCTGTCAAATGAGCTGGAGAAGGAAATGTCAAACCACTCCATTATTTTTGCCAAGAAAACCCTAAATGGGATCATGAAGAGTCAGATATGACTGAAAAAATGACTGAACAACAATAAGTGTGCTCATTATAATTGTGCAGCATTCAATTTTGTCTATGAGTCTCCTTTCCATTTACGTTGTTGTAATCACGGTCTACAGTGTCTTCCTGGTTCTACTTACTTCACTCTGCATCAGTTCATGTAAGCCTTACCATATTCATCTGAGTTCTTTATATTTGTCATTTCTTATAATGTAGCAAAATATTCTATTGCATTTAAGTACCACAATTTATTTAGCCATTCTACAATTGATGACACTTATCTCCCTCGAGGTATATGGCAATGGAGAAATTCTTAGGTTTTTAGGCTTTAGAGTTAGAAGTGACCTTAGAAATCATCTAATCTACCTCTGTCAATTTATATATGAAGACACTAAGATGTGCCCATGCTAGTAAGTGTCTGAGATCAGATTTAAAGTCATGTCTTCCTGCCTTGAGGTTTAGTGCTCTATCCTCTTTGTCACCTAGCTGTCCCCAGATAGGTAGGGTAGGATGTGTGTAAGGGAAATAGAAGATTGTAAAAGCTATACCTGCTCTCAAAGATTTGTTTCCTTAAACATTCAGGACCATTTTAGGACCATTTAGAACTCAAAGGGACCTCAGACCATTTAATCCAACTCCTTCATTTTACAAATGAAGAAACTGAAGCCTCAAGTGGTTAAGTGACTTGCCCATGTTAGCAGTGACACTGCTAGATTTGAACCAGGACCAGGAGTTGACCCAAGGTCCTCCAAATCCAAATCTAGCATCCTCTTTATTTATACCATGCTGTCTCATCAGTAGGATTCTATTATAACTTTAAGACAACTCAATACACTAAAATTGGAACTTCTAACAAAACTGTATTAGGGAATACTTGCTTTACAAATGAGTTGACTGCAGAATTTCTTTAAATAAAAAGCTACAATGGAAATCAATCAATAAATAAACATGTATTAGGCACCTACCATGTGCCAAGGAGGGATAAAAACTTAAAAATGAAACAATCCCTATCCACTAGGAATTTATATTCTGTGTATGAAAATGGTATTGCACTTCAAAAATTCATCAGTTTTACATACGTATTCTTTGCAAGCAACTTCTTAGGAAGGTATCCATTGAACAAAGTGAGAAATACTCAGAATAATCCTATGAGATGCGAAGGTTTCTGTAAAGCTTTAGAAACCATCTGCCCAACCTATACTCTAGTAAGAATGGCCTCTACAACAACCCCAATGAGTGGTCATCCAACCAGTCAACTTTTACTTGGAGAACTCCACGGAAAGGAGATATACTACCATTATTACACTTTAGGAGAGTTCTCAGTGTTAGAAAGGTTTTCTCTACCTTAAACAGAAATGTCTAGCTCTACAATCCCCACATCTTGGCTCTTGAGTTCTCCTCACTTGGGCCAGGCAGAACAGACCTAATTCTTCTCCCATCAGATGGCCCTGTGTGAGATAGCTATCACACCAACCCCATCCTCAAGCTTTTCTTCTGCATACTCAAGGCAAGAAGACAGATGTGATAGCATCCAATAGAGAAATCTTTGTCCTTGTCTTCATTTGGGCAATACAATACATAGTGAGTGACATGACCCTTCTGTTAATGTGAAAATGAGGCCACTAGAAAGCTAAAAACGTTCTCTTCCAGCATGTATTGCCTGTCACTGTTCATATTGCCAGCTTTCCCCACTTCCCTGCTCTTTCCCTACTCCCTCCCCCAAAAGTACAGAGGTTAATCAGGGTAGAGCACAACACTGTGGATAAGGTAGGATGTTCAAAGGTGCTATTGTTTGCAGAGGTGCCATATTTAGAGTTTTTACTTGCCTAGACTAGACCTCAGGATAGACATATACCTATATGTGTATGTCTGTTTGTATGTATATATAGATACAGATTAGATATAGATATAGATTTGAGTTGCTTAATCCACTATTCATCTATGCAAATGAAATGAATACTGTCAGATAAAATTAATACTGTCATCATGAGTAACCATATAAAGTTTGGAGGATTAGAATGGACAAACCATTAAAAATAAATAAGTGTTCCCTTCAGTTTTACAGGGTACCATGCCTGTTTATAACTGATGCTCTAGGACTACAGTATTGTAAAGATTAATTGTATTTCTCACTTCACACAATGAACACTTTCCTGAAAAATTGCTTATAAATCTTATGCAAATTTGCTTATGCAAAACAAATGAGTTTTCAAGGTACCTGATTTTCTATTCATTTTTTATCACCTATATGGCATAACACCATTTATAAACTGGCATGATACCTTACCTTGTTAGGAAACTAAAAGGAACATTGATGTTGTTATAATAATTGCTTTTAAAGTCTCATCCTTTCTAATCTTCAAAACTTTCTTTATATGGTTATTCATGAGTGATATTAATTTTATCTGTCCACAGAAATGGCATGGAAGGATGGTCCAGATTAAGCAACCAGAGGGAAAAATTAATAGAAAATCAGGTTTTAATAAAACCACTTCAGTAATAATACATACACACTTTAGTGCGATTGCAGGGGCTATTTGAAAATAACCAATACCAGGGGCAGCTAGGTGGCACAGTGGATAGAGCACCAGCCCTGAAGTCAGGAGGACCTGAGTTCAAATCTGGCCTCAGACCAAACATTTAACACTTACTAGCTGTGTGACCCTGGGCAAGTCACTTAACCCCAATTGCCTAAAGAAAAACCAAAAATACAAATTAAAAAAAGGAAAGAAAAAGAAAATAACCAATACCCATGATTTGGGACATTTACATAGTGAAACTTCTGAAGGGTATTTTCCACTTTAACTCAGCTTTGCAAGTTATC